GGCACAGTTGCTGAAGGAGAAACTCTCCTCTCTGCTAGATCAAAAATCTGTTTATTTTAGAAAATGGAAAGAAGATGTCCAGGTTGTTCAGGGGTGGCACAGTTAGCCAGTTCTGACACCCCAGAAACAATCATGTGTGCAAAAGGGCAATGGCTGGTAATTATCTCAAAGCAGATGAGACTTGGGATACTGTATCCTGTTTCATTGGCAAAATGAAACCAGGTAAAGTTTCAGAAGTGGAATAAAAAGTTTAATTTTCACCCTTTTAATGAAGATGATGATAAAACTCTTTGGCTGTGTGGGGTTTTTTTTTCCTTTCCTAAGCTGCTTGTGGCTTGGTTATTGCTGGATGTTGTGAAATGTAAATAACACCAAGGTAGTGAACTCAGCATCCCCTGCTCCTTGGCAGCGTTGGTGAATGGAAACATCTGTCCACGGCCTCTCTGGTTCCCTTCCCTCACACAGCTCCTGCTTCCAGTGCAGTGCTGCAGAACGTGCTGCAAAGTCCTGCAAACCCTCTCCTTAACTCTGCACTGCACAAAATGGAGGAAAATCGAGAGGGTAAAGGGACTGAGGAATGTTTTTTCCCATAGTGGATATTTCAGTGCAAGTCATTCAGATTTCTGATGTTCTGATGCCAGCCTGTGACATGGCACAGACCTGTGCTCTTGGCACAGTCCAGCTCCTCTGATGTGTGCATCTCTTGCATTTCACTCTCAAATCACTCACTTGGCAAATGCTTATATATTTCCTGTCTCTCCTATTCAGATTATACATACAGACTGTGGCAGGGTGTCCTTTAGCTTCACTAAAAAGGATTTGTGGGGATGGGTGATAGGGGATGAACTATTTTTTTACTTCTTAAAGAGGAGTAGGAAGCAAGGGGACAACACAAAACTGCAGCCAGAAGGAGGGTGGGAAACCACCCTGGTAATTCACTTGGAGTTTCCTCTTGAGCTTGGGTGGGAGATCTTACTAGGTTTTTACTTTGTGGCCGTAAAAAAAAAAATGCAAAGAAAACCCCAAAACCTAAGTAACCATGCAAATAATGCAGGAAATACGTAGTGAATGTTTTGTGATTGGGAGAGATAGTAACTGAGGCTTCTGAGCTTTAGGTTGGCTACAGGATGTAAATACTGCTTGTGTTGATGTGGGTGGCTGTTGTGGACCAGGTTCATTGACAGTTTGGACTCTAAAACTTACTTTGTAAATTTCAGACAGTGATTTGAAGTTGTTTTCATTTCAGCTAGAGAAGTTGTTACTAATTTTGTCCTGTCGGTGGAACATGAAATTGAGATGTTGTCCTTACGAGGTGTTTTCATGGTGATTTTTATGTTAAATTTATTTTTTTTTATTTTGTAGTCATAAATTGGGAGGAATGGGTGGGAGAAGAAAAGGGATGCTCTTGTTCATTTTTTAATGTAGGAATACCAGCTGTTTTTCTCCCCTCTCTCACTCCTTGTGTGAGTGGTGAAAAAGAAGTGTCTGTTTTTAAATAGATCAAACATCTTTCTAGCACATAACATTGGTTTGAGGTGAGGCTGCATGGCGGGTTTTGATGGTTTAGGGATATATTCAGTGAATTAATACAGCCATCTGTGATGCATTTATGAAAGCTTTTTTTTTTTTTTTTTTTTTTTAAGCTTTCAGTGTTTTTTTCCTTTGCTGTCAATATATAAAAAATTATTTCTTTAAGGGAAACCTTAACTGTGTTAGCCAGTGGCTAATTCTGCATGCAGTATATCCCGTTCTGAAAAAAAAAGTGGGTTATTCTTAACATAAATTACATACTCAGAATTAAGTAAGTTTAAAATTACAGTGAAGACAGGCTAATAAGGGTTTTACTCTGCTGAGGAATTTGGCTTAAAGCTTGCATTGGAGCCTGAAGTTGAATTTGCCAATCCAGCTGAAGTGTAAAATGCCTTCCAGTCTCAACTGGAGTAAGCTAATGCAGAGTTTTAACTGAATTATGTTTTTTCCTCTCCTGTTCATTGGACAGATTTATAAAAAATTATTCTGATGATTTTATTTTCCCCTCTGAGCACTTCCAAAAGCTAACACAAAGCATCATTGCATAATGGAGGGGTGGACAGCAGAATGCTTCTGTGATCTCCAGTGTTGCTTCAGGATTTCCAGCTCTGTAAATAATTGCTCAAGGCAAAGGTACACTAATATTATTTGATGAACAGGAAGTCTGCAAAAAGCCATGGTATTTTGCCATAATTACATTTGCAGTGGTGCAGGTGTTGAGCCTTACCTATAGCCAGGAAAACCAGTGCCTCAAATGGATAGATTTGTAAGAACATGTGGGTGAGGAGATGGGATGTAGGTTTGAAGAAAGTACATCAGCAGATTTGAATTTAAAGGATTGAAAAGCGTAAGAAAGTTTCAGGAGATGTGTTGGTGATGGCACTGCTACATTGCCTTGGCTTTGTAACAACAAAACAAAACCATCCACACCCCCATTTCTTCAGAAATGGCAAGCTACTCTTAGGTTTTTATTTGTTTTTAATGGATTATGTTTGTCTCAGATTGATGTGCTGCTGGTTCTGCTCAGGGCTCACTGGTATTTGTTACTGTGGTTGTTTTGCCTCATGCTTCTCACACCCAAATCTTTCCTTAGTTCATTTGATGCAAAAATCCTTTTCTTGGCTGTGTTGGTGACCAGAGCAGCTGAGTGTGAATCTTGAGCAGCTGGTTAGGTGACACCCCGTGTCTCCTCCAGACAGTGAGAGTGTTCAAGCACTTCATTAATACTTAACTTGAGCTGTCTCAATGAGATGGCTGAAGGAAATTAAATACTGTCATTAAAATAATGCTGCCAGAAATGCCTGGAACCAGCTATATTGGGAGCCTGGCTCATCTGCCCTTGCTCTGGGAGCATGGCTGGATGCAGTGGGAGGGTATCCTGCTTTTTTTTTTCCACAGCTTCATGACCTTGTATCACCAGCCCATGCATTCATTTGGGAGCAGACTGATGAAGGAGAGACGATGATATGCAGATGGGAATGTTTCTGAGGGTGATGCTCATTGCTGAAATGGTCTTGGAGTAGTTATTTTGAGAGAAAATCTTGGCTCATGTTCAAGGAGCTGAACTACCAAGAGCAGCCTGTGAGGTGGAAGAAAAAGGGATGGGGAGCAAGGAAGCAGGTGGTGAGAGGATGTGTGTAGCAGAGAAGTGAAGCAGCACTCATGTTATCTCTTCCAAGCCATCTGCTTTTCCTCCCTTTAGAGATGGCCATTATTTCAAGTGGGCCCTGAGGTTTGGAAAAAAGGTTTGGGGTGTGTGTGAGCAGCAAGTATTGAGAAAATTGCTGTGCTGTGTGTAAACCTAGCGTGGAAGTTTGTAACTGAGATGCACGGTGATGTCTTCGCTTGATTTTGGCTGTGAAACTTTGGGGGGCATAGCAAAGTACTTGGTGCCAGCCCAAATGGACTGGTATAAAAGTAAATAAATACTTGTAAAAGATTGTCTCTATCTTGCTTAGTACTGTTCCTGAATGCTTCAGTTTCAGATGTTCTTGAAGAAATTGCTCTTTCTTAGTCTAAAACGCAGCACTTAAGATATTTAGACAGAAGTGGTGCTGCCTCTCCAGACAGGAATTTTTGTATAAATGTTTAAAGTGTCCAGTTAATCTGGCAGGATTGTGACCAAGGCACGGTACAGTGCCTGTGTGCATTTACACTGTAATTATGAATGGTTTGTGCTGTGAGACAGTGTGATGGCTTCAGTGCTGCCTCTTTGTTATAAGTACAGCATCTTCTGGGCTGTTGTTTAAAGACTCCTTTGGAAGCCTGATTTAGTAGTTGAGCTGAGTGAATAATTCAAAACCTTTTTATCAAGTTCTTGTTTAAATTCTTAAATGAGCTCACCATAACCTTTTTATGTACCCCTCCTGCATGTGTCATACAAATATTAAAATAATTGAGTTTTACTAGAGCAAATATTTCTGTGAAGCAAATTTTTAGAGCTTGATGTATGATTGTTTATGGAAAGGGGAATGTTAAAATCTCACACACCAGTGCCTATGCCAGAAACTTGTGCTGGCTTACTTAGGAAAAGGGTGGGGGGCGGGACCCTTGGCTTTGCTGGAGCAATCCTAACTGAGCTGGTTTGTCAGATTGACTTGCTTACAGTTTAAAAACTGAACACTTGTATTTCAAGGAATTTCAGCTATATCTCTCTTACAGGCCATTCTATAAACAGTAGCAGTACTTAGTTTAAAATACTAGCTTTTTTTTCCCAGGAAAGTACTATTTTGGCTCTTTTTCCTTTTCTCACCCCTTTACATGAGATGAACCAGCACATTTGAAATGCCTCTGCTTAGCATCACTGAGTAGCTTAACAAGGGGATGCAGAGGAGAGAAAATCCATAGTAACCTTCCAGGTTTCATCATTCCTTGGCTTGAAGTTCAGCCCAGGCTGGAGGAGAGCATCGCAGATAGGTAATTTGAGTGGATTTAGTATGCCTACTCACATGTATTAATGTTTGCAGACTTGCTGGTGAAAGCTCATTAGTGTTAAGTCACTTCTGAGTACTGATGGTCTTTAAAAGGCAAATGAAAGCTTTGCAACCAGGCTGTCTGCAGAACTGGCATCCATTTGTCTTCTGCTTCTGAAGAAAAATGGAAGACTTAAAAATCTAAAGCCAGCTCAAGAAGCAGGAATTGAGGATTAGTCAGGGAGCTGGGAGATGCTGTTTTCTCAGTGGAGAATTGTTGCTTAATTGGTTACAAGAATTTAGTCAAGGCTGTTTATGCTGTTTGCAGACAAATCTCCTCCTGTGCATGCTCTGGCAGTCCTCTAACCTTCCTGGCACCGCTGTGTGTGCTTGGAGATGAGATGGAAAATCCTTCCTCTTGCAGTGCATCATGAGTTTGCAAAGCCTGATTTGAATGTGCAGGGTTTGCTCTTTGAATTTTGGATTTCTTTGCTGATTTTTCTCTCTAAACTGTGCTAACAGTTTAACAGTTAACAGTGCTAACCGTTTAACAGCCACTAGTAATGCCCCATGCCTCTTGCAATGTGTGCAGAAATCTGGAATTGCAGACTTGTGTGACAATGAAACTACTATTGAAACCTTCCATTGCCTTCAGTCACAGCTAGTCCAAGTGTAATTACTGACAGTACAGATGCTAGAAACTGGGCATCTGTATATCCATACCCAGACCCATGAGAAACATAAAGTGGTCTTTAAAAGTAGGAACTTTCAGGTTTTGGGGTTATGAAAAAAAACCCCAAACTGACCTCCAAACTCTGGCATCATCACAACAACCAGCTTTGACTTTGCAGAAGGAGCCGAGTAAGCCTGTTCTTTTTTTGGCTTTCCTGAAATTGTCATATGTGTAGAGTCATATTTTCACTGAACAAAATGAGTTGTATCCAGCACTGTACCAGTGGGCCTGGGCTCTGGTTGTGGTGTTCCTGTAGTCTGTCAGCTTGAGTGGGAGAAAGAGTGTTCAGACTTGGTCTGACTCCCTTGCATCACCTGTAACATTCCTACAGTTGGGTCTTTGTTAAGCTGAAAACACCAAGGAAAATCTCCTTTATGCCTCTTCATTTCCTTGTGATGCAGCATCATCTCTAACTTGCCACTGTGGGTTCCTTGGACCTTAAAACAAGTGGGAAATTTTGGGTGGGCTTTTGCTTGGTTTAATTAAATATTGGTGGAACAAGAGTGGTTTTGTGATGAGAAAGACCCAACAATCTTACCAAACATGCAGAACAAGTGGGCTGTCGTGTCATCCCGTTATGACATTCCCACTGTAGGAAACGCCCTTTGTGCTTTGATAAATTTGTCCTTATTCATAGTGTGAAACTGCAAAAAAACATGTAAAATTGCTTTTGTACCTTGGAGATTTATAACAGTTTGTTGTCCCTTCAGATTTGTGTTGCAGAGTGTCTGTGATGATAGGGGAGCAATATTACCTTATTTATTATGGGGGGAATCTGAGACTTGGCAGCTTTTTCTGAGATACCCATTAAATCTGAGCGTTTGCAGAGTTTGCTGTAGTTTATGATTGAAGTTGGTGGTTACAATAGGCAAGATCCTACTGCAGCACAAAGTGGGGAGAGGGGGTGCCAGCTGAGCTTTGCCTGAAGTGGATGTGTCTGCAGAGATGCAGGCTGGGATGACAATAGAAAAGAGGCTGCTGTCTCCTCATGCCCTGATTCTTTGATCACTGAGAAGAAATAATGTGACCACTGGGCAAACTGATCTGTACTGTTTGTGCTCAAGTTTTGTCTAGTATATATAAAATAACCTAAAGGAGGAGGGTGGATCAAAATAAGCTCTGGATTTTGTTGTATCTTGATGCTGTTTGATTGCATAAGAGTATTCTGCTAGGCAAGAGTTAATTTGTCAGCCTGTCCCCATTTACATAAGTACAATTGATACTTCACCCTCCCTGTGGTGACCTGTGAACCATCACTGTTGGGTCTTCATGTTGTTCTAGATTTGATTATTCCCTCTTTCTGCCCAACAGAGATTTACACTCCATCCTTGTCTAATTCAAACTGGTGCCTTTAAGTTTTCTCACTCATATTATAGTATATTAAATATATATCTATATAATTTTTGCTTGTTTTTATCTCATTTAGCATTGTCAGAGGGGAAAACGGTTAAAGACTCGATGTGTATTTGGACTGGATGGAGTAATGATGAGGTATAGCTGAGTTATTTTCTTTCTTTTAAAGCTGCTTGTGATTTTCTGCTGTGGATATTTTGATTCTTGTTTATTTTGCTCCTTCATTTGGAGAAGAATAGTCTGGGAGAGGGGAAGGAAGAGGCAGGGTTTACCCCTATAACCATCATTGTTAGCCCTAATTTCTGGTACAGCTTTGCTGCTTTGGCTCAACCTCTTTAAACTTGAGAAATGTGTTTTTGTTTGCATTCCCATCTTGTTGCATTTAAAAACTATTCTAACTCTACCAGATTGTTTGAACATTAATGGGAGAATGTTTTTCAGAGACTTGATAGAGTTTCCAGGCAGCTTTTCATCCACCAAATACTGTACTGGGCTCTCACTGGTGAGGTTTTGCTTGGTTTACTCCAAGAATCTGCAAAGCAACTGTTCAAAATTGCTGACACATGTTAAGTAATGTGGAAATCACTGTCCTACCCCATTGAAGTCTGAGAGTGCTCATGTCGACAATAAGAACAAGATCTGACCCTGAAAATGATTATATGAACAGTCTCAATCTGGAGACCACTTTTAGTGTCTTCCCTCTGACTCTGGCTAGTTTATCCTTTGGTCTTAGGTATTCTATTTTTAAAAAACTTATTTACTCAATCTCCAAAAAAATACCACATTCTGCCTTGTCTGTGTATTTTTAAATTATTTAACCACATGTGCATATTGGATGATGCCAAGTTCAGAGTAAAATCTTAGTTCTGTATTTGCGTATCAGGAGAGTTAATGTTACTTCTAACAATAATGGTAGTGATGTAATGCTTATTTAATAAGAAATCCATCATCTTCTACCTCTCTTCTCCAAACCTCTAGTTTTCAGCTTTGGAGCAGCTGTAATCAGCCTGTACAACTTGCTTCCTCCTCTCATGAATAAATCCAACTACCTTATCTCCTCTATCGGAAAGTCTTCCCTGGCTTTAGGAGGGTATAAAAGGGGCTTTCACTGCCTAACAGGAAGCAAAATGAATGGAGGAACTTTTGATAATGCCCCGTCTGTCTGAGCGGGGGATCAGCCCGACTAAATTGCAGCAGATTAGTGAATGATAGTGCTTCAGCTGGGGCCAGAATTATAAGTTTTTAATCTTGGAACAAGCAGTGATTTCTTCCTCCTAAACAGTGGTCAACTCCCTCTTTGATTTGGAGGCTTGCAGTCATCCAGATTCAGTTAGTTTGGGTGTGTGGTTTCTTTTTTTTTTTTTTTTTTTTTTTTCCTTCCAGTCTGCATTCATGAGTCTCAACAAGCTTTTGGGATTTTTGGTAGCAGTGATTTTGGTGAAACCTGTCATGACCACATGCCATTTTTGCCAGTAACTTGTACTTAGCTTTGGAATTTTGTTGCCTATAATGAGGTCTTGTATTTCCCAGCTTTCTTAATATTGGTTTGTGTTATTCTACCTCAGTCTTTTCAATTAGCTTTGGGGTGGTTAGGGTATTTTTTTTATAAGCAGCATTTTTGTTTCTGGCCACCTTCTTCAGCCTTACTGTGTGTGTGAACATGTGTGACTCCTTAAATCCCACCCCACAACTTGGTCCAAACTTTCTGATAATCCAGCTCGGTGGGAGGGAGGGGTGACTGAAAGTCTAAATGGGGCAGTTGAGCTAATTGCCTTAGACCTGACTTGTCTGCTGGATAACACGTTTTATTGCAAGCAGACGTGATTGACATTTGGGGAAATGCACTGGTATAATGCTGGCAGCAGCAGTGAAAAATCTGCCCTATTGTTTCTGATACATTTGCTGTCTGAGGAGGAGCTTTTTGTTACAAATTACTATCAAAAAGGCAACTAATGCAATGAAGTTACTTTTTCTTTAAATCACTTAAACTTTTCCAATTCCCAATAAAAAAATATGAGTGAGACTAATAACCTATGTACTAAAACTTTGCCTTGTTCTATGTTTTTTTCAGGCTTTTTTTCTTGGATTTTATTACTGGAAAACTCTCTAATGACAACTTTGCTTAGGTAAGTGAAGCAAGATTTTTTTCCTGTGGATTTTTTAGAATCACTTCCCCTATCTTAACTTCTTTTGCATGTTGGGTTGAAACGTTGAGCTGCCAGCCAGCTGTGCTCTGTGTGCTGTGGTTAAAGGCTAGAAAGATGTTGTAAACAAAAGTTGGGTAATGCCTCTAGTATGACATAAGGACCTCATTTATTCATTTAATCAGATGAAGTGGACATCGTGCAGAATAATGAAATACAGGTTATATCTGCATATTACTGCATAATCTCATCAATTTATAATATTTTTTTCAAAAGTTGCTCTGCTTTTTTTTTCCCACTGGAAAATAAACTTGTTCATTTTGTTATGAAATGCAACCTTCATGCTTCCAGGTTTTTAGATACAATTGCTCTTCCTCCATCCCTTTCTCTTCCCTCTTATCCTTAGGCAGGAGCTTCTAATACGGAAAAATCATAAGAAGCTTGAGAGTTTTGTATTTTTTTTTAGCCCAAAAGACAGAAGAACATGAACAAAATTAACACCCCCCCTTTGATCTTCTGAACCCCATCTGCACCTCTAAAATGCAGATTCCACATAATTGGTCTTTGACAGGATCTGAGTGTTGACTGAAAGCACCTGGTCTTGTCTATTTCTAAATTTTGTCTATCTTTGGGGCATTCTGAGCACAAATCCAGTGCCATGGTGCCATGGATGATGTGTGGAAGAGCTAAAAGTGCTGCTGTACCAAAATGTATTGTGCTTTCTTTTGTGGTGGGGAGAAGACTTGATTGACCTCTGATGCAAGACAAGAAGTTAATCCCTAGGCATACAGCTAATTTGATGTGTTAGTTGGAGTTGCTTGTTGATCCTGGACGAAGCCAAAAGCAACTACAGTGTTCATAAGGGAATATAATATCCTAACATCTACCCTGACAAAAGTGCTGTTGCTCTTTGCAAAGTGTCTGTGAAAGGCTTTTCTTTTTTCTCCTGTCTCTGCTTTCTGCAGTACCCACCCTCTCTTCTTTTCCATCTCCTCCCAGTGAATGGTCAGCATGGCAGCTTCTCTCTTTGAGATGAGGGATCTTGGTGAAATAAAATTAATTGTCTTAAACCAGAAGTCTTCTCCTATCTGTTTTTCCCAGGTATTTATCCCTCTTCAGGGAGGACTTTAGGATAATGAAGACAGACAGCTGCAGAGAGGCTTTTGAGTTCCCCTTAGTTTTCCTTTTAGGTAGCTCATTGGAGTTCTATGTATCTGCCATTCCTTTGCCAGAGTGCTGAACTTGGGGTATTTTATGTGTAGCTGTTGTGTCTTCCAGAAACACATGGGGATGGGCTGGTGGACTCCAAACTGTGAGTGAGCCAAAAAGGTGGAAAAGTCCTCAGCAAAACCCCCTGAGAGCATGTCTGAGATAGATTGCTGCTTGGGATCCAGCACTGCATTGCTCTTGAGACATGCCTTTTTATTGTGCTTGAGGTTCCCTCATGTCTCCCTCAGCTGCTTGATCAGTGACTAATTTACAGGCTGAGGCTGTATTTATTGATGCCACTGCCTGTACAGAGGATGGAGAGGACTCTGCAAATGAGGGGAGTATTTAAGGATCAGTTTTAAGTCCTTTTAACACTGTATATTAGACACATCTATGAATATATGCAGACTGAACTAATAAATAACCAGGGAATGGTAGTTAAGAGGAAAGGGCATAATTAATTCTGTCACGTACTCTCTTTTAAAGTTGGGTCCAAAGCAGTAATGTGTTAGGCTGGGAAGGTAAACACTGTCATTATTCAGCAACAAAACATGTACAAGGCTGACATTGTTTTCCTCCTTTTTATATAATAATTTTTTTTGCAGTGCTTGGAGTATCTTTGGTGGTCTTTGGTGTGCTAGGAGCCTGATGAAGCCCTACCCTTTCCTAAGGGTCAATGTTCCTTTATTTGAATTGAGTTTTGTATTAATGCTGCTTTGCTGACACAGAACGTGTGCTGTTCCAGAAAGCTCTTACTGTTTGCTGTGGTTGGGGTGCTTGGCTGGAATTCCTGCAATATAGTTTGGAGGGAGGTATTTCTGTTTCATCAGGTGATCCCTTTTCAACTCCCCACACTGCAGTGTTAACCCAGGTCAACTGTTCATGTTGCATAGAAAAAAATCCTTTTTGTTCAGATGCTGTTAAAAAGCCAGCATGAGTTTACCTTGTATATCTCTTTTTTCCTCCTCCAACTACACTAGCATGCAGAGAAAGGTTTGACTTCAGCAAATGCAACTTTGCATGGTCCTTCAAGGTTAATGTGTTAGGACCTTTTTTAGTGGGGAGAGGGATTCAGGGGAGTCCTTGCTTTGCATCTTAAAGCATCTGAAGTTGCTGTGAGAATGATGATATATCTGCTAAAAGGAATTGTTGTCATGGTAAAAAGTTACCTAATACAAGGTAGTTAACTTTTCAGCATGATATTCAGTATGATATTCAGTATGATAAATAGCAATAGGAAAAAAAGCTAAAGAGCTTCTAGTTTGAAGTTCCCCCTCCTTGCTGTTACTCACAGCACAGCCTCTCTCCTCTCCTTCATACCTCTCATTTTAGCAAATTTCTTTATGTATAGTTACTCATACAGAAAAACAAGCAAAGACTTAATATACATATTTCTATCTTTCCTGTGCCCCACATGACCCACCCTGGATATCAGATCACTTGAGTTTGCATAAATGAAGATGTGTGTATCCAAAGTGGGTTGGTGTTGTTCAACCCCTCCGTGCCTCTTTCTGTTGAGTTTTCTTACAAGTTTTGCAGCTCTGGCTCTTCCAGCAGAAGTCTTGGACAGAAAACACCCATGGAGACACCAGTGGAATAGCTGATGCAGCTCAGCAGCCACCTCCTAAAATAAGTGGTGGAAGGATTCCTGTTTCTCTTAGCAGTATTTTCTTTGGAAGATGAGCATCTCCTCAGCATGTCCTTGGCTTCTGTGTCTCCCTAGGAAGCTGCAGCACTGAATGCTCCTTCTTCCACTGTTCTTAGCTCCGTTTAAAAGTTCTTTATTCAAAGTATTTCTGTGATCCTTCAAGGTCTGCTCTGTCTGATTGCAAAACTCCCAGAAATTTGGAAAGGTAGTTCTTCCTTGGGATGGATTGAAAAGAAGTTGTGTGTTGTCACTTTGCACAAAGTCTTTCTTCAAAGTATGATGTATTTTTTAGGGGGAAGGATCTCTTAAAAAATTATTAGCCCTTGGTGGGTGGCATGAGCAGCATTGACTGGAGGGGCAATTGTTCTGTGGTTCATGTGCTGTTTATTTTGCAGCCAGTGATGTTTTTATATTGCTGAGGCAGATGGAGGGATTCCCAGCTCCACAATCATGACCCTGGGGGAGATGAGCTGGTTTTAGGTCTCGCCACTTGGATGATGAGGTTAGCCTGAGACAGAGATGCATCCCTGTGCATGGAAATGGTCTTGGCCCAGATCTTGTCTGGCGATGTAAAGCCTGAGAAAGGACCAAGAGGTCAGCTTCAGCTTTTTAAGGAATGTGATGTATGGTCATTCTGTGGCATGTGTGGACTGCTGCTTTTTTATTTCTAAAAGGGTAAAAAATGTGCTTGCAAGTTTATGTGGTTTTTTTTTAACACACTAATTAGAGCTACAATTAACTCTAAAGTGGAACCTACTTTACAGCTACATAAATATTTATATCTCTGATACTGAAACACTCATGATAAAGAATCCCAAAAGGTTTTTTTATAGCTACAAAGCAAGGAAGATTTCTCCCATTCTCTGCCTCTTAGAACCTTTCTTCCACTTCACCTACTTCCCTCCTACTGAGCTGAGTGAGCAGCATCCTCAGTCTTCACACACTGGGACTCTATTTCTTTTCTTTTGCATCTATAGCAGTCTTAAATAATTACTCTGCAATTCTAATACTTGCTACAGAAGTGAGCTCCTCTGCTTATGTCAATCAATAGTGTCTAGAAAACTGAAGCTCTGAAACAAGCTAAAATGAGTAGAATCTTGTTTCCTCTTTGCTCACATGGGCACTTATTCACTTCCCCATCTGCTTCGACTTTGAAGACTGCTGAGGTTCTTCCTCTGTCTGACCCACTTGGCATAAGCTAGAGAGGATTGTCTTTCTTCAGTAGCCAAGTTTATAGGGCTTCAGCTTGTTCATAAATAATCCTTAGAGGTTTGAGTGCTGCTTTTCTGCTTCTTTCCCCTTCAAAACTGACCTGCTGTCATTTGTGTACAAACTGGGGGAATATTTTCTCAGTCTATAGATAGAGTAGAAAATTTGTGCAGTCACTGGACACAAGAGACTGTAAAGTGTGCTGAGGAGATTTCACTATGGATCCATGATTTTAAGTATTTATCTCATCACTTTCAATTTGTGTTACCAGCACACAAGAGCATCAACTGTAGAGGAGGGATTTGCTCTGCTAGTCCTTGTACAAGCACAGTTCCAGAGTACAAAGTACAGGACTTGGATATGCAGAGGCATCTTTGTAGGAATGTGTAAATATTTAGTGTACTTCAGAGAGGGACAAGGTGTTATTCTGCCTTTGCTTTCACACTTAAGTACCTGCACCAGTAATTGGTTTGCATGTGTGAATGGTTATTTTAAGGTAGCATTAAAACTCACTTTCAGCTTTACTGAAATTCTGCAGACCAGCCTCTCCTGACTGGAACTTTGGGGCCATTTGATCTGCATGTGGTCCTTCTGGCTCTTGGTAGCAGGAGATAGCAACCCTCTGTGGAAAGATAGTCTGTAATTTTGTCCTGCTTTGAACATGTGGGATTTTAAGTATTTCCTATGAGATGCATTATTAGAACATAAACAAACTGTTTTGTTTAGTGTAAGCTCTTTATCCTGATAGTATTTGAGACATCTTATAAAGCAATCACTGTAAATTTAAAACTAATATTTGGCATTATTTAAATAAACATAAATCAGGATAGTATACAAACAACACAAGTTCCCAGCCCAGGGACCTGAAAGACAGACCTACTTGGATGTAGCCTGTGTACTTTTTGTCCATTTCCCT